ATTTAATTGACCAGAATGTTTTTAAAAACATTCTGAATGTTTTTAAAAATATAAACCATGTTTTTATTTTATTTATTTTTTTAATAAAATTTTTTCATTTTCATTTGTTTTTAATGTAAATCATGCGCGTAGTGTTGTTACATCAACTATCTTATAGCCTGACTTGCAACAGAGTGCTAAAAAAAAAATTTCGGTCTTGCATTTTAATTTTTTTTTTTGTGTGTCAACTACTTAGCATTTTTTTGAATAAAATTTTTGACATTACTTTTTTGTTGTTGCTTTATCTGATGATCACGATTGCGTGAAACTTCTAGTTATGTAATTGAAATCTTAATAATTATTTTGTTTTTACAATATTATTTGCTTAAACAATTATATAACACTCTGTTTTGAGCACTATTACTCGAATTTTTATTATGTTCCTTGATCACTCCTTTATGTTGAGCAATCTCTAAAATCTTCAGTTATATTAAATTAAAAAAAAATATCTTAACACTATCATCAAACCAGAATATATATATATATATATATATATATATATATATATATATATATATATATATATATATATATATATATATATATACACACATATATATATAAGCTTTAAAATAAAAATCATAAAGCTCAAACTCGAGGTGAAATTTACTTTTTGTTACATTTTTAATTGCGGTTGATAAATCACTTCAAAACTTATCTTTTGAAACATTTTATTGAAGTTACATAAATGCTTTTATAAATTATTTCTAATGATTGTTTATTTAAAAAGTGAAACTAAATTATTGAAATTTAAAAAATATAATATTTTTAAATTGCTTAAACATTTTTTTTTTTGACAAAAATGCAAAAAAATAAAACTTTTTAATAATAAAGTAATCTTTTTAAAATAAACTTTTAATCCTTTCATTAGTTAAAAAAAAATTTTAAACAATTCTTTGTAAAAATAAAAACAAAAAAATTAAGCAATTAAATCATTCTATTGCAACGCAAAGATTTTAATTAATTTTTAAATTTTATTAATTAATTAAGATTTAAATTTAATTAATTTTAATTTTAATTAATTAATTAAGATTTAAATTTAATTTAAATTTTATTAATTAATTAAGATTAAAAAAAAAAATCTTATTAAAGATTTTTAGAGAGATATGGAAAAATAGTTTCTAATGTTAAATTTAGCATAAAAAATACATGCCTACTAAAAAAAATTTCCATTTTTAATTTACACAAAATGTTTTTATTTTAAACAACCATTATAACTAATTTTTTATTTTATTTAAAGCCTTATAAATAAAAACGTTAAAAAAGATCAACGATTAACTGACATTTGAATTGTTAAAATATCAAAACAGCCGTGGTCAAATTGTAAAAAAAAACATTATTAGCATGGTCAGTTACAGAGTGCTATCGCATGCCATTCCTGTCTAAGCTGATATATATTTATATATATATATATAATATATATATATATATATATATATATATATATATATATATATATATATATATATATATATATATAACATCTGTTATTTGTAAAATGTTCGAAAATATCTGTTATTTGTAAAATATTCCTAATATCTGTTATTTGTAAAATGTCCCTAACATCTGTTATTTGTAAAATGTTCGAAAAGCTCATTCGGGACACAATTCTGCAAAATTTAGTTTCAAATAGACTTATATGTGAGGAGCAAACTGGTTTTGTTCCAAACAAATCATGCACAACAAATCTTATTGAGACAAGTAGTACCGCGCTCAACTCGTTTCTCCGCCCAGCGGCCTTGCTCGTCAAGGTTTGTGTTTCGGAGTTATAAAGTTGAGAGAGGGTTATAACCACAAATAAGTAGCCTCCTCGTCTGTAGTGGCCTTCTCGGCCTTGAGGAGGTGAATTAAAATAAAAAAAAAAAAAAAAAATTTACACAATTACATTTGAAACTGCAAAAGGTAAACCGTTATGCGTCATATATCTTGACTTCGCAAAGGCTTTTGATAAAGTAGAACACAAAAGATTATTGACAAAGATTAAAGCGTATGGTATAACTGGTAAAATATATAACTGGATTGAAAGTTTTCTTGCAAATAGGAAACAAAGAGTTGCTATTAGTAATACAGTTTCAGAATGGGTATCAGTTACCAGTGGCGTGCCTCAGGGTTCCGTTTTGGGTCCAATGTTGTTTCTACTATTCATAAATGACCTCCCAGAAGTTGTGCTAAACACATTTAAAATGTATGCTGATGATAGCAAAATAATAGCCATAGAAGATTCCATTGATAAACAAGCGGAAATACAAACTGACCTTGACAACATTGTGAAATGGTGCAACAATTGGGGTATAGAACTAAACTGCAAAAAATGTAAGGTGATGAGATTCGGCAATCAGAAAGTTTTTCGAGGTATTAATAAAACATACACAATGAATATAAATGGAATGATTTATGACCTCTCAAACAGTGTATTAGAAAGAGATCTAGGTGTTTTTGTACAACCGGATATGAGGTGGAAGCATCAAACGCAAGTATGTGTTAACAAAGCTTCAAAAATACTGGGGTTATTGAAAAATGCCTTTGAAAGTAGAGATTGTTATATGTGGAAAATTTTGTATACTACTTATGTGCGACCTCATCTTGAATTTGTGGCTCCAGCGTGAGGTCCTCCGAATGTGGCCGAAATCTCAATGCTTGAAAGAGTTCAACGTAGGGCCACAAAAATACCATACTCAAACCGAATGCTAAGTTATGAGAAACGGCTAGTTAAAATGGATTTAATTAATTTAAATCTCAGAAGAAAACGAGGAGACCTTATTCATTTATATAAGATATTAAACAATCTAGAATTTGTCAATCTTAATGTCAAACCAGTCTATAAGTCAAGCATTAAATTAGATGGCTCATGTTCTTCCATTAGAGGTCTCAAACATAAAATTAGAATGCAGTGTTTTACTCCTCGCGAAATAAACGACTTTCATGCATCGGTTAGCTCCAGAATTCATTTCTTCACAAACAGAGTTTGCCAAATTTGGAACAAACTTCCGGAAAAAGTTGTAGATTCCAAAAATTTGAATAGTTTTAAAGCAAGTTTAGACGAATGGCTTAAGAAAAATAAGAAAATGTTAATTTTAAAAAAAAAGAAAAAAAAAAAAAAAGTACTGGGCTGCTATAGCTGAACGTTACAACATCTCAGCTTGTGAATAAGATCCATGCAGTTTACCACTAATTAACTAACTAACTATATATATATATATATATATATATATATATATATATATATATATATATATATATATATATATATATATATATATATATATATATATATATATAAATATATATATATATATATATATATATATATATTATATATATATATATATATATATATATAAATATATATATATATATATATATATATATATATATATATATATACATATATATATATATATATATATATATATATATATATATATATATATATACATACATATATATATATATATATATATATATATATATATATATATATATATATATATATTAAAAAAAAAAAAGTCTCAATATTTATATTCAATTTTATATGAAAATTGTTAACTACCTAGATATTACATTAAACCTAATGTAATATAATAATTTCAGTTGCCATAAACATGATAGTATGCTAAATTATATCCATGCCAGTTCCAACCACCAAGCATTTAAAACAATTACTAACCTCAATTTAAAATAGATTAGCAACCAATTATTTAACTGAAAAATTTTTAAACACAGCGTTAAAAAAGTTTGGGTTTTACAACAATCTCTAATACCATACAAACCTAAACCCTGCTAATACTAATAAATAAAACAAAAATTGTATGGCTTAATCCTCTATTCAGCAAAAAATGTTGTCAGCAAAATAGGACAAACTATCTTAAAGTTAATTGATATACATTTTCCACTATATCATAAGTTCCACAAGATTTTTAATAAATAACAACATAAGTTATTTACAGCTGTATGCCAAAAATTTAATCTATTATTAATTCACACAACCAAAAAATTTTGCCAAACTCACTGCTAGTGTAACAAACTGCAACTGCATTAAAAAAACCATATGTCTTTAATAGAACCAGCACTCGGAAAAAAAGTCAGCATTTGGCAATGTTGACCTGACAATGTTAGAGGTCAGCAATTTTTTGCCAATTTTAGAATTTATTAATAAATTCTAAAATTGGCAAAATATTAATTTCAAATAAATTAACAACAGCAAAACAAATATTATATAAAAACAGTAAATAAAATAACTTGATTAAAAGAAATATTTTAATTAAATTTTAAATTAGTTAATACAAAAAAAAAGTATATAAAAAACATTTTTTTTTTAATTACTTAAAAAATAAACATAATAAGGTCGGAATTTCATAAACTTTGGATAATAATAAGGTCGGAATTTCATATACTCTCAATATACTTTGTAATTATTTAAAAGTGCACTAATTTTTCAAAAAATAAAGGAAAATGACAATTAATAAAAACATGATTGCTGCTATAACGCAAACTCTTATTCAACATACCAGCAATCTTTGCATGTTCTGCCTAGTCAGTTGATGTATGTACTTAGGCCCCTGCAGCTAGCTATTTCATTATGAAGTAATTTGTGTGCACCTAATGTCTATATATATATATATATATATATATATATATATATATATATATATATATATATATATATATATATATATATATATATATATATATAACTGCTTCACTGTGACATATTTTTGAAAGTTTGTGTAGTGCTAGAGTGTTCTGAATGTGCTTTGTCATTTTTATAAACTGTATATATATTTATTTTATTTTTGTGTGATTTTTTAAAGTTAGTTTTTGGTACCTATAATGTAAATAAAAGTATATGTTTTTATTAAATATAGATAGACTATAATATTATTATTTAATATTATTTTAATTTACTTTTTATTTTTAGATTTATAAATGAAACAAATTAAGAGAAGAAAAAGATATAATACTATTAGTTTTCTTTTCATATCTTTTTCATTGCTTTTTTTAAAAATCTAAAAATTAAAAAGTAAATTAAAATTAAATAATAAAAGAAACCATTTTTAAAAACAAAAATTAATTAATGAAAATCAAAATATACACACAATAAAAAATATTTAAAAACATTAGACACTGGTTATCATAAATATAACTATCATAAATATAGTATGTAAATTTAACAAAATACCAATATGTTATCGTATTCTTGTCCATTTTGGATTAAGTTTTCAGTTTGAATAAGATTTAATGATGGAGTCATATGTTGAGATCCTCCCAATGATATTGATAAAAAATCTGTAGAAATATTTGAACTTGTCTGATAGTTACCATTACTTGTATAATTTTGACTTAAATTTGCTGAGGAAAATTTTCCACCAGGTTTACTTGAAGTTAAATTTGAATTGCTTGCATGGTTTTCATTTGAAAAATGAGTAATGTCATTTGATACATTTTGATTTTGATCCAGAACTTGTGATGAATTCGAAATACCTATCTGCTGATAAAAATTTCTTTTACTTTCATTCTCCCACATTTTGTTTCTCATTTCTGTTTCCAGGCTTAAGTATTTAAATTTTGTATAATTTAAATGTTCCATTGGAAAGTTCCACTCAATTACTTCCCGAAGAGAATCATTTTGCAAATCTAAACGATGTGGCATTAATGCGTTTGCCATGTTAAGATAGAGTAACGTGTGAAAAATAAACTTTAATCTTTATTTAAGCCCAAACTAAACATTGGTAAATTTATTTTTGTTAAAAACAACATTATGATATTATTTGGAATATGTCTCTGAATTATAATTCAATGATTTTTTTTTTTGAAAGCCTCTTTGATATTAAACTGACTAATAATTTTACATATTACTTAACTTGCGTGTGTGCAAAGCTTGAGTAATCTTTATCGTAGCCAGATAATGGAAATGCTCAAAGTATGAAAAACTTCGAAAATAACGGTTATTTGATCAAGCAGAAAGAACAAAGAAAACGCAACCGATTCATGACCTACTTAAACCGATGCTTTGTTTTTCTGTTTACGTTTTTTTCGGCTTGACTTTGAACAAACATAGAAATAATCAATAGTCTATTGAGGAGTTTTATTTACTCATGTGATGTTTAGATTTTTGAGTGGTCTTCCCAAATCATTATTTTATGAAATTAAAAATTGAAAAGACACTTTACGCAAATCTAGCTAAAAGTTATGTTAAAAATTAAATTAACATTTTAAGCATTTTAAATTGATTACACATTAATCAATTAAGAGATTATTTTGATTCTATTAAATAAGTTTACATATTAATCAATTAAGAGATTATTTTGTCTCATTTTTTAATTAAGCGCAACTTATAGTTTAGAAAATGCGGGCATTGCTAAGCGCTATTAAACAAATATGGAAGATGAAAAAGTGGTAGTAGCAGACAATATTGTTGCTAAGTTTGAAAAATATGAAGATTTTTTAGACAGTCAAATAACACCTTTAGATTTATATTACTTAGAGGTAAAGAATCAAGTCGTATAATTTTGTTTGCTGTTTACTATTTCAAAACCCGAATGTCTGTCCCGCAAACAATGTTTCACGCATCAAACAACTAAGGCTAAACCTGCAAGGTAGCCAAAGAAACTCCTGTTTATATTTATCTTAAATTGAAATCATATCTTGTGTGATCATATATATGCATAAAATATCAACATAACTCCTATTAGAAGTTAAATTGATGTTTTAAGCATAGAGTAATGTAGAATCGCCTGATTTTTGTTTGATTCTACCTGCAAGTCTTGTATTTCAATTTTTTTTTCAATCATTTCAATCATTGAAAATGATTGTTGTCTGTAGTTTTAATTGTTTTGATTTTTAAAACATTAGTTTATGCTCTAGTCTAGTGCATATGACATTACTTGTCTGCAAGAAATTTTGTTCAATGCTATTCTCAGTTTTTGAAAAATGATAATAATGATCTTAATAATAATAATAAAAGATTAAATTGCTGTTTTTTTTACAAAAGTTGCAATAGTGTTGGAATGGTACAGTTTTTTTTAAAATAGAAAAGAATCACTGAAAAAGTAAACCATCAGTTTGAGAAAGCTTCTCAAAAAGTTCATATTTTTACTATTTGTATTTGTGTATAAAAATTTTTAAAAAATTGATTTTTGTACTTTATTAGATATTCCATATCTGAGATGCAGGTATCCTAATAGATTTATCCTGATAAATGTTGATAAATATGTAGAATCTTGTAGCAGTTATTTCAGCTCTTATTTCTAGGATAAATGAAAAATTTGTTATTGCTGGGCTATTTTATTTGTGAATCGCAATTTCTATCTTTATGCAATAATCTTCAAGAGGATTTTTGTGATAATGAACCACTGTATATACCAGATATTTGCCATTTGATTATATATATATATATATATATATATATATATATATATATATATATATATATATATATATATATATATATATATATATATATATATATATAGTGGTGTCTGGCACACTTCCATCTGAAATGTGCCAGAAGTCTCTTGACCTCTGCTTTATATTACATAGATCAAAATGTTGTCAATAATTTTATTTATTGTTTAATTTAATAATGATTATTTATAATTTAATTTAATATTAAATTATTTTTTATTAATTTTTTCCATTAGCTTATCTGAGCACTTAAAACCTTTAATATTTGATATTTTATTCAACACTGATATCTCTTTCATCAGTGTTGAATAACCTGGATTTATTATATATGGATTAACCTGGATGGGTTTGATGTAGTTTGCAATACAAATGGTCCATGTAATTCACCTGAGCATGTTAGGCAGATTAATACCCTTTATAATTTACTCAGTACCTGACTAATTCAGGCTTTAACTAATTCATTTGTTAATACTGTTGTAGACCCGATTGAGGCTAATACATGTAAGTTAGAAGTAAGGTTATTATTATATTATCTAAAATATAAAGGAATACAATATACATAATATAAATATTATATTATGTATATCGTATTCCTTTATATTTTAGATAATATAATTTTGCAGGCTGTCATTGCTGCATCTCTAACAACATTGTTGCAGGTATAATCATTTAAAAGTCTCAACAGTCTCAAGTCATTATATGGGGCTTTTTCTGCCAAGCAAGCTTTATGCCAAAATTTTCCATAGACTAGAGCAATAAACAGGCTGATGTTTGTCAAAGCTTTTTTTTCATGAGCAGTGAGAGTCACTTGGTTCTTAAAAAAAGGATTTTGATGGAATAGATGCCCTTTGCCATTCACCTGGCATGGTGTGTGGCTCTAGGTGCTTAAAATTGCACCTTCTTCTTTTGGGCAACCACCAAAAAAGATAAGGCACAATTGCAGAAGCTCGCCATAGTCTTAGCGTTGGTGATGGCTTTTTGCAGCTTCTTTGTAGTAAGCAACCATTTCATTGCAGAGATCAGTCATGGATCCACTGAAGAGCATTTCATCAGCAGCATCATATTTGCTTTGATCAAATGTTAGCCATTCTTTTTGAAATCGTTTGTATAAACCTACATCAGATCCAGTTATAGCTCAAGATATGTTGATACAAATACGCTGGAAAGTATAACTACAAAAACATGGTGACGACATGCTATCCACACAAGGTCTTTCTTGAGAGTTTCAATAACTGTGCAAGCTCCAGATTTTAAGCCAGTGTTTGAGGCTGTTGTATTGTACACAAGCTCATGTATTTTGTCTTTGAGATGCCAATTATCCAATATTTCAAGACAGGCACTAGCTTGCTCCTCACCTGTTCCCCTTATGATTTTGGGAACCCCAAGCAACTTTTCTTTTCCAGCTCCAGAAACTAGGGTTGCTATTCTGTCTACCATTATATTTATCTGGACAATATCTGGTAGGAGTTTTCCATCTTAGTGCAACACAAGTGGTACTTGGGTCGAATATGATTTTTGGTCGTCGACTGCCTCGGACTTGCGTATATCCATTCTAGAACAAATAGTGTTGCAAGAAACTGGAATGCTACCCAGATTATGTCCAAGGGCTTGAGCAGCTGCAGCAATAACATAAGTAGCTTGCCGATCACTAATGTTAACGCATTCAAGTGTGAAGTTCAAGTCTGAAGTCAGAATGTTATTCCTTGCCCTTTTTGGAGCTGAGTAAACGCTGAAAAGTTCATCATCAGATATAAACTCAGTTTCAGAAGCAGAAAAGCTAGAATAATGTTCTGACAGTTGAGTTGAAGCAACCATTTCTTGGTTTTTCCTGGCATCTTCAGCATCCCCTTCTTTTTTTTTTTTAATGTTTTTCTGCTTGTTTAATTTTTCGAGATTCCTGTTGGACCAAATGTTTATCCATACCTCCAAAACTGAAACTGGAGAGATCTTCTCGTTGGGATACCAGAAATGCTTTGTCTTCCCTATTGTGCATAATCTGCAATGCATCTGATCTTGCAATATCAAAAAGTTCATGAAAATCATTTTTGAAAATTTCCTCTTTCATTCTGTATCCCTCAAAATTTTTTGTGCATATTTTTTTAATGACTTAACATTATGTAACTTCAGCAATTTTTGGCACCATATCTAACTGGCGTAGTCGGTATACTAGTCTTTTTCCCAGTAACAAAAGGCGGATAACATGGCAATGTTGGCACTTTCTTTGGCTGATTTTCCAATTAACCACACACTAGCAGAACTTCTTGTTGTTGGAGCTTTTGCCATTTTTACCTAAACAATGAACCAACAATCATTGTCTAGAGTTTACCAGTTCTGTTTATGATAAAGAAAACTTCTGTTTCATGCAAACATTAAAAAAAAAAAAAAAAAAAAACTTATGAATAATTGAAATAACCTAGTAATACTACTACTAGTCTACTACAGAATGATAGTTTTTAAGTTAATAATAGCAATTTTCAGTTTGAACAATGAATATATAAATATTTAATTTAATTTTAAAAATATAATTTACCCTAGAATCTTTGAAGAATTCAAATTAGAGACAACTGTGTGTGATATAATAATTAATTAGTAAATTATAATTGACTTAATCAATAATTATATTAATAATAATGGAGACTCATGCAGGAAATACAAACATGACATGAGGTAAAAGCAATTAAAAGTTGACTTGAATTAAAATTAAGTAAGCAAAAAAGGATGCTATATAAATAATATATTTCTTTTTAAAATCTCATTTTACAGATTACAATGTTTAGTTTATTATAAAATTATTATACATTTATTATATTTATTATATTTCACATAAACTAAAATTACCATTACTTAGTACTTACTCTCACAATTAGAGGTTAAAATATAAAAAGAAACCACCGAACAAAAAATGAAATGAGCCAAATCAGATGAGCCAAAAAAAATTCAAAAATTACATAATTTTTTTAAACCTCTAAATATTACTGAATCTGTCTCATTTTTGGCTTAAGGACTCCTCTCATGTATAGAAACAAGAGCAATTATGATTCAAATTGATATTAATAAAAAAAAATTTAACAAAGTAACTTGGACCACTCTAATAAATATAATATCACTGTCTTCCACCCTTCCAATAAATATATACATATATATTTTTTGACTAAGTTAGCTAAGTTTTGTTACAAATTACATTTTAAAGATATTTAGTATAATGTAGAGGGTTTGTGTTAGCTATTAAGTTTTAAGTAGCAGTAACACTAGAGTATGGAGTTATGGATGGTGTAATTTTGGTATTTGTAATTGTTTTGTTTGGAGAAGGTAAATTATTCAGTTAATGGAAGATGACAACCCCATATCAGGTTGTTTTCGTCAGTTTCAAAGTTATTGCTAGTGTTTGTAATTGTTAAACTGTCTTCTTTGGATAAAAATGATGTCTCAAAGAGATCATGTTGTTAGATTATTTCTGTAATGTGGGGAGTGGCATATTGTGCTAAATGTTATGTTGATACAGTGTCAATTCTGCCATTCATATATTTTATATGAGCATAATGGGGTGATATAGTTTCAAATAAGGTCTACCAGTGGGTTTCCTTTCAATCAGAGGTAATTTTTATGTAGGACAGTACTATCTGATTCTTCTATGAAGTCAGGCAAATCATCACCAGTGATAGTTGAACGTTCGAAACCCATTCTGTTGTGTGGACTAGAATTTATTGAAGTACATAATAGTGATCGAATAGAGAGTAGAGTTGCTGGGATACTAGTTCCCAGTCAGATTTTTCTAGTTCAAAACTTCATAAAGTTAAGTTTCTTGTTTTCATGATTTTGGAGTTTAGTGTTTCACATTGTCCGTTCTCTTGTGGTTGATATGATGTTAAACACAAAGCTGCCTATAAGAAAGTTTTTTAGTTTTCTTCCTTCAAACTGAGCATCACGATTGGAGTGAATGCATGCAGGGGTGCCAAAGAAAGAAAATATTTCTAAAAGATGTTTTATTATTGTGTCAAAATGATTTTGTAGCAATGGAAAGCAAATGGGTATCTGGAATACTCATCAACTATGTATAAAAGGTATTTTTTCATTGTTTTGGGGGGAAGATGGTTAACAAAATCCATGGCGAGTTTTTGCCATGGTCTAGTAGAGCGGATGAGTTAATCAGGCGGGGGTTGAAAAATTTGGGCTTAAGCTCACAGCATACCTGACAATCAGAAAATATGTCTCCAATTTCACCAATAATGTAAATTTTGCGTCTTGCAATAGTGGTTTATTCTCCTGGGCATAGTTTGATATGTAGTTGTCTTAGTGTACTAAGATTGGTATGTATAGCAAGACATCTAGAGAATGCACCTGCTGTAGTATTTTGTCAGCCAGACCTATATGAAATATTGAACCAATATTCAGATATCTTGTAAGTTTGTTATTCTTATTTTGGAAATTTGTCCTGGGTTGAAAAGGAAGAAAACAACTTTTTGATCTGTTAAAATATTTGATTTTGGAGCAGAAAATAGTTGATAACTCCATCTACAACAACATTTCACAATAGCCATTGCTTCTTGTTCTATGACAGATCTGCAAAAAACACATAAAACTAACAGTTCTATTTGTGTTAATAAGATTATATAATAATATTGTTGTAGACCCAAACAAGTTAGTAGTATGTAAGTTAGTAGTAAAGTTATTACTATATTATTTAAAAAGGAAATTATTTTAAATAAAGAAACAAGATATATAATAAATAAACAAGATATAATATAAATATAATAACACAGTATCACCAATACCAAATTGATTAATAAGAAACAGATGTCTGGGTAGAATTCATAAAGAATATCACAAACCTGCTGTAGATATGAGCATTGTTTATAGAGTTAAATTTCAATGCTAATTTTTCAATAATGATATGATGCTAATTTTTCCAAATTTGGTCCTATCTTGAATCTGCAAAAAAGCAGAATGTCAAAATATTCCAGAAATATAAAGATTCAGTTTAAATAGGTAAGCTAACAGGTTAACTAAAAATAAATTTACCTATTTCTGGACTGGTGCAAATTGTATACATGTTGAAA